TGAGTTCCTATTTCATTCTAGCACTCTAGTCCATTTCTCATATGGCATACAGAAAAGGGTCTGTTTGTTTTCTTCATTTTTTACTATCAATGAATGGGTACAGACGTCTCTTAAATCCTTGAAGGTGGTATGCTAGGAAGATGAGAATGCTATTTTTATTAAGTGTTTCCATATGGTAATACACCACCGCTTCCAGAGATGGACCAGGCATATTCTCAGACTGAAACTTTTATCTAGTTTCAAATGTAAAAAATAAACGCCCTATCTTTCTGTCTATATTCTTCCTGTTTGTCAATTCACTTTCCATCAGTTATCTTACCTGGAGACAAAGATAACTATAGTTAACCAATATAGCAAGAGTGGTGATGGTGGTGGTGTGGTGGTGGTTATGTGCCATGGAGTCGATTCCAACTCATAGCGCCCCTCCCTGCACAGGATTTCCGAGGCTGTAAATCTTTACGGGAGCAGAAAGCCTCATCTTTCTCAGGTAGAACAGCTGGCAGTTTTGAACTGCTGACCTTAAGGTTTGCAGCCTATTCATGAACTCTGTGCTACCAGAGCTCCTTATAGCAAGAGTAATCATTATCAACGAAGCCACCGTTTATAAGGAATTACTACTGAGGGTGGACTCAGGATGAGTGCATCTCTGTTTTGCCAGATGTAAAATGAGTACTTAGTATGGTTCTTCATAGAAATGTTGGAAAGAAAAGGAAGATAATATCCAAATATTCATAAGTCCTGGCATTACTCTACTTGAAAAGTAAATGTTGCTTTAGGAAAAAGGATTATTGAAATTTTACATTTAAAAGTTAAATTTAAAAATATATTTAAATTAAAACAATAAAAATAAAAGAATTATGAAGTGTCTGATGTTTCTATTCTCATAAGACCACTGTGCTTATTGGACATATTGTTAGAATGGGCAGTAATTGTGTTTGTTTTTGCAAAGAAATGGCTAATGTTTAAAACACTGATATTTCTACTATCTTTACAAATATCATATTTTTTTCAATGATTTTCTTCCAATTCCAAAGGTTTAAACTTGCAATGATAAATTATATTAACTGGTTAGTCCTTTATTTATTTGAGACCAACAATATAGATATAGTCAACAGTATATTACATTGCAGGTTTGTTTTAAAAAAAATCAATTAAACTTTTGGAGGTTCAAGCATAATACACACACACATCACTTTATGATATGGTACAATACATACTTTTCTGGCTACCACTTGATATTTTCATTATGGGGCAGTAAGCTCACTGATATCATTCTAGTATACCCAAAATGTCTTCCTTTTAATATGTGTTATTAATATATAATTTAAATGACTAAGCACACAGTATGCTTCATCTTATTACTTCAGAAAATAAGGACATTTTCTAAAAACCTATATAGAGTCATTATAGGTCGGAACCAACACTACTTAACAACAACAGCACAGTGACTGGTACACATTTATGTGATCTCAGAGGAAATCCCTTTGCCTCATTCATCTTGAAGTCCACTAACTGATCTTCTTAGACTATAGAGAATTTATATTCCTAACAAAAGTACCACAGGAAGACTTTCTCTCACCCACAGCACTTCATTAATCTGTATTTTTCAGATAAATTAAATGAAAAGCCTATGCTCTGGAATACTTTTTTTTTTAATGTAGTTTTCTAAAACAAGTATCTATGGCAACTCCAGTACATTTTGGAAAATGCTGCCTAGCAATAGTAAAGTAGAAATCATTATTTTAAAAATTAAGAATAATATATGTCAATAGTTTAGGTCTATGTTGAATACCAGAAAAGCTGATGTTTGATCTTTATTAGATTATTAGCATCACAAATATTGCTAATAGTGATGGCATAATACCAATCCAAATTTTCCGGAATTGCCACAAACAGAATTACTAAAGATATTAACTATAGCACAAATATCAAAACTAAATATTATGCCTTCACTTTTATTTATGATTATTTTCATTTCTTCAGTGAATTCTTTTAATACCATCTATCTGCCAGGCCCAGTACACGTATCAGACACATAACTATGGAACTACAGTACTGTCCAAAACAAAATAGATTACGTTTTCTTCTTGTTGTTTTTAAGTGCTTCTGAGTCAGTTCCAACTCATAGCAACCCTGTAAAGGGTTTCTGGGGAGCAGCTGGTGGGTCAACTGTTGCCCTTGAGTTTCAGAGCCCAGTGCTGACTCAACAGCACCATATCAGGAGTGACACTTGCTTAGGACAGAGAAATACAGTGATTTCTTAAGTTTATAAAAATATTGTATAGTGTCGGGGTTTTCCCTCGACATAGTTGTCACGAGTGTTTGGTTCACGAGGAGG